CTATTGAACTCGAGCACCGCAACACAATGAGAGCGACGTTCATTCAGCGATCTCGATGTTCAGTTATATGCATATGCTTGTTAGCTTTCAAGAGTAATTACACATGGGTTGAAAGCTTTCGATATGTATGAGTGACTTGTTTTGTTCGGACCCAACCGTATACATCGATTGTACTGGTTTGTACACTCGCAATAAACGATGCAAACCTTACTTGATTGATGTTTTTGCCAGTCGAGGCCAGCTAGGTCACCTGGCGATAATTACAGACGCAAAACACGATTTAGCAACGAAAAAAAAAAAAAAAAAAGCCAGAGGAAGCGAGCAGCGCGAACCAGCCGCAGGCCCCCCCACCTGATGATGATCCTTGATACCCTGGCGCACACCCACAAAGGGGGATCGGCCAAGAACCGGGCGGCAGGATCTTAACTAAAAGGCTAATGGTTTTTCAAACAAAACGTAATTTTGGGCTGAAACAAAATATAGAAAGAAAAGCCGAAAAATGAAAAAGGAGTATATCTGACCTGCAGCATAAAACGCGTCTGTTTATTGATGATGATGAATGGATGGATGGATGTGGCTGTACCCTTTAGATCGGGCGGCGGCTACCGCCACCTAGCCGTAATACATAGTGAACTAACCATTAGATTTATCTTTTTTTTTTCCCCTTTAAATAGTGAGGTTGAGGATTCGTACTCTGCAGTGAAGGGCTTAATTTTCACTCGTGCCTTCACATTAGCCACAAATCAGATAACCTCGGTCTAGTTAAGTCTTTTAGTCTATTAAAGTCTATTTGCCCTCCCTGTCCCTAAACCCCAATGCTTTGGAAAACTCTGTGCCATCATCCTGGACTATAGGGTGAAGCCCTTTACAGAACATTATCAAGTGTTCGGCAGTTTCCTCCTCCTCTCCGCATGCACTGCATACCGTGTCTACCCCTTCGTATTTGGCCCGATATGTCTTGGTTCGCAATACTCCTCCTGCCCTGGCCTCAAACAGTAGAGAACTACCCCGAGTATTATCATAGATCCTTTTCTTGGCAATTTCCTGCTTAAAAGTTCGATAGATCTTTATAAAGTACGGACTTCTTAATCATGCCGATTCTCCACATGTCAGTCTCTGTTTCCTTCACCTTCTTCTTATTACCTGATAGTTCTTTTTGGTTTGGCCCCCTGCTGTTTTCTAAGTATTTACCCGTCAATTTTCTGGTTCGCTTCCTCCATTTTGTATCTACATTCATGTACAAGTAGCTGAAAACCTTCCTAGCCCAACGCTCCTCCCCCATTTCTCTCAATCGCTTCTCAAATTTTATCTTGCTGCTAGTTTCCCTGCCCTCAAATGATGTCCATCCCATATCACCTTGTACTCCCCGATTCGGTGTATTCCCGCGAGCTCTTAAAGCAAGCCTACCTATTTCACGTTGCTTAATTTCTAATGTTGCTTGAAGTTCTGATCTCATGCATAAGACCCCATTGCCGAACGTCAGACCAGGAACCATTACCCCTTTCCATATTCCTCTCACAACATCATACCTATTGTAACTCCACAGTGCCCTGTTTTTCATCACCGCTGCATTCCCGTTATTTTTATTCGTCACGTATATTTCGTGTTGCCTTAGGTACTCGGCCTCATTACTTATCCACACGCCCAGATATTTGTATTTATCTGTTAACTCTAGCGTGACCTCCTGTATCCTAAGCTCACTACCTTCGTTATCATCGTCTTGGTTCACTTCCATTACGCTGTATCCGAGTTGCCGGCTCATACCCTTGATCACACAGTTGGCCTCTACTACCCTCCTTTCAATCCTACGAGATTGCCCCCAGACCTCTGGGACTGTGCATATGGTCCCATGCACACTCCCAGAGGCTTCTCGGAGCTTCCGCATCCCATTCTCTGTC